AGCCCACCCGCCCCTGTCCCAGCCTTGCCTTGCCTCAAGGAGGAGCTGCTGCCTGCCCTGCATGAGGCTCTATCAGCTCTGGGGAACTGCTCTGCTCCCCAGCCCTGACACTATGTGCCTACTCACTCCCCGGGGCGATGCGGGGGGGAGGAGCAGTTCTCCAGAGCCGGTGGGGCCCGCGCCAGCTCCCAGCCCCAATCCCTGTCTCTATCCCTGCCTCGCCTCACCTCAGAGCTACTACTGCCCTGCCCTGCATGAGGAGCGAGCTTACCTTCGGTAAGCGTCCCACGCGGGCCCCGTTGCCTCCACCACACTCCGTGCCCATCTCCCCTCTCGGCGGGTGCACAGTATTTAAAAGTTTGTGTGTGGCCAGATTTTTACTTGCGCGTGACCACGCACCTTAGAGGGAACACTGGCCCCTACTCTACTCCCTCCCTCACCATGAGGGCCTCGATCTGCCCTGCCCCATGCCCCTTCCCCCCACAGCCTTACCAGCAGGAAGCTCCTTTCCAAGCTGCCAGGCTGCATTTCTGCCCAAGTGAATGCTGTGGCTGTGTGCATGCATGAGGCATTTATCTAGGACATTATCAGCTACACCAGCCAAAAAAAGCCAATTGTCGATAATGTTAATTTTCCTTTTAATCGGTGCCGATCCAATATGCAACCGACGTATTGGTGCACCTCTACTTGTCACCCTAGAACAGTGATTCTCAATCAGGTTGCTGCAGCACCCTGAAATACCCTGAGATCCTTTCAAGGGGGCCATGGGATGGTGCCAGTGTCCAAACATTTTACAAGAGAATCCTAATGATTTCAAATATAAATCTATAGTGTTATAAACCATCTGCCCTCATGTAGGCTTTCTGAGTTCCTTGCAACAGAAGAATTGCTCTATTATTTTTCTGTAGTCAAAAATTAGTGAAAACAAAGAGCTAGCATATTCTGAGGGGTGCCTCGAGGCTAAAAAGGTTGAGAACCACTGGCCTAGAACAAAGCCTACCTAGTTCATGACTTGTACCGGTTCACACAAGGCCCTCCTGAAACAAAGCACTGCATGCAGTTACAAACAGAATGAGATACTCAAACCCACCAACTTGCAGCAAAATCCCCCTTAAATTTAGTTAAATCAGAGTCCATAGCACTGATTTTAACAGTTCATAGGCAAGCCTCCTCCATTAGCAGCTTTTTATGCAGCTGTTTGTTCAACGTCATAACCCTGGAACAAAGCCTGCCTGTGTTCCACTCTAGCTTCAAGCATTAATTCTAATAGTGGAAGGCTTGTTTTGTATAAGGATCTCAAAGCACTTTATGCTAGATTCTAATGCACCTTACCCTATGAGCATTTCCAGTAATGTCCCTGGGAATACCATTGAGCAGGGCAATTATATCAGACTTTGTCTTCTTAAGAAGGTAGAAAATAGTTGTGTATCAGTTTATAAAGTCTGAAAAAAGTCAAGTCAAAGAGAAATCGTTTGACTTAATTTTATACTCCAAAAGGGTAAGAGAAAGTCATATAAGGTCAACCCCCACCACAGTGGTCTCCAACCTTTTTATGGTGAAGATCACTTTTTGTAAGAGAAGGCACCCCAGATCTACCCCCCTCCCCCCTGCTCTTCCTCTTGGACAAGCCACCTGGGCTCTGACCCCACTCACCCAACCCGGCCCTGGCAGCAGGGGCACGGCTCAGCCCAGCCACATGCCACTCCCGATTGCGGAGCCTCTGACAGACTGAGATTGACTCATTACTTGAGTAATGCTTTTCAGTCATCTGCTCTAAAGCGGACGCCATACTTTCAGCTATAATTTTGGAGCCCCAAAGTACAGTCTGGCAATAGGTTCCCAGTTCTGCAAGGTGAATTCTATTGAACATCATAAAATGTATATATATTTCCTTCTTGTAGACGCATAGATTTTTATACATTTTGCCCTGACCATGAAACAGAAAACAAAGCTGAATCCTGCTATGTTTTTCAGCAGCTTCTGTCTCATATTTAGGCTAAGCATCTGCCTTACAGACCAGGCTATACTAGACATTTTGGTAGGCATACAAGTGTCCTAGAAATATAACATTTCATATCAGCAAAAAGTCCTAATGTACATGTAATAATTTGTGTGTTTGTGCACACATACAGACAAACAAGTCGTCTTCTTCCAACATAGCATATTTGGAAAACTGGAACAGAGATACTGGTAAAACATTCTCTTGCTCATATAAATTGCACCTCTGCTGTCATTTCAGCAAGTATGGCTTTCTCAGCAAACCCTAAGGCCTGGCCTCACCATAAAATAAAAAAGATAGACAGTTAAAAAATACTGGCCCTAATTTTATACTCCAAAAGCAAAGGAGGTAACTTAGGATTCATCCCTACCAAATGATGCAATTATACAGGCATTAAAAATAAATCTAGGTGAGATGTCAAATGATTTCTCTCTCCTGTTCTCTTACTCCAGACATACCAAAAACAGGTGACAATTTCAAGATTCAAATTAAGGCCCTGGGCCCTCATATACATATGAGCAAAACTACCATCAGGTTTTCAAAAGCAAGATTGAAGCCACTTCTGTGGGAGTAAATTTTACAGTCAGAGAAAAATGCCTTATACAGGAATAAACTAAATATTAAAAAAAACCTTATTCTTATGCTCCATTTTATAGTATATGCAACTTTCCTACAGATTAGCATTTAGAAGAGAAAAATTCCTTGCATTTGCACACAGAAACTGGTTTAATGTTCCTCCTCTACACAATCATTAAAAAACCTTCTGTACCAGGAAAAAAGATAAATGGAACTGATCCAGAGACAATAAAGATATCTTTATTTCCTCTTGCTGCTGTTACTTTTAAACTATTGTCTGTGACCTAGAGAATAAAAAAGGAGAAAAGGGAACCTTTCCACATAATTGTAAGTTAAAAACAAACAACAATTATACTAGCAGTCAAAGGTAATTCTTTTAAAATAAATAATCTAGTACTTGAAGCTCTGAAGTTATTTCTACTAGTTAAAAGTGAAATTTAACATATTGGCTGACCCATCTTAAAAAAGGAAGTATGAATAAGACAAGCTGTATTTGTTGGTCAAGGTAAACATTATACTACATTAGCTTGCATGGTAAAATTACAAGTCCAGTCTATTCTTTGATTTTAGCACTTAAAAATGTACTTTTAGTTATTTAGGACATGGCTTTATTAAATTTCCAGTATTGACAGATTCCTCACAAGGGACCCCAAGAGAAGAAACACACCATAATCTAAACTTAGCATTTATGCTTGCTGACCATATTTTTAAGCATTCTAGTGCATCTTCTTTATACTTCCTTGATGCATTTATATACAGTATTAATTTAAACAAATGCAAAGGAGAAAGCATCCATCTATCTTGGAATTTTCAGAAGTGGCCATGACTGTACTATGTACATAGACATTTAAGGCATTAAGACATCTGCTGTTTTGCCTTCCCTTAATAAAGCTGTGATTGAGAAATATTGTAGTGTAAATCATCATCAAGCTGGTCATGATAGAATGTGAAGTTAGAAAGTTTGGGGGTGCCTTTCCTAAGCTAGGCTGACAAGTTAGTCTGCACAACCTTCTTACTACTGGAAATTCTTTAAATTAATGCCTTAAAGTTAAATTTCCACACTAGAAAATGGACTCAAAGGAAAACAGTCTTGGATTAATTGATGTATAATACTTATATTAATAAGAGGCTCAAAAAGATGGTGCAGGAAGCATATACATACTGCCTAAAAATACTGATGTTCAGCAGTTTCATCTCTGAGCAATCTGAGCTGAAAACATGACCATGTCTTGTTTTTTCTCCACTTAGTCAAAAAAATGATATATTTTAAAAGGTCAAAAGAAACTCTTATGTTCATCTAGTCTGACCTGCTCTATGATACAAGCTATGTGACTTCACTTCCCTGAATTAATTCCTGCTTCAGGTTTCATACTTGTGCATGAACAAGGGTATATCAGTTAGGAAAAAAAACATTCAGTAACAGAGAATCTACCACATACCTTTCTAAATTGTCCAAATTATTAATTATTCACACTGATAAAAATGTATGCTATTTTTGTCTGGATTCATCAAGCTTCAACTTTCAGACAAAGGATCTTGTTTTATCTTTTTGTCTGCTAATTTGAGGAGCTTGGGTACAGAAACATTTCAGTAGTACAACAGTTCCAAATACAGAGGTAATGCGCCTGTGACTTTTTGAAAAGGTCTCCTTTTGGGCTCTGTGAATAGAATTGAAGACCCGATGAAAAAAGTTAGGTTTAAAAGAAGGGAGGGCTGTATTAATTGTGTATTTTACACAGACCAAATCCTCCAGAAATCCTGTTTCTAGTTTTGGGGTCCACAGTTCTAAGAACAATTTTGAAAGAAAAATGGGGGAAGAGTTCAGCCATGGGTAGCAAGAATGATAAAAAGGTGGACTGTCTAGTGACAGTCTCCTGGAGTTCAAACCATCTATCTTAACCTTCTCCTTGATAAGCAGTAATTTGGTCACGGTCTTTGAGTAACCAAACAGAATTATTCAACAAATTACTACTATGTATAGACAGATATTACATTAAAAACCAACATCAGTAGTGACACTAAAGTACTGTCCATATCAGTGAGGGTCAACGTTTTCAGTAGGCATGCCACAAGGTCAACCCCACACCCTTCCCAACTACTACTTGGCTCTCCTTCCCCTGCCAGATCTCCTGCTCTGCTTTGTGTTTCCTATCCTATCTGCCACTGTATTCCTTTCTCCATCCCTAATCTGTCACGTGCCACATACAAAGGCTGCCTGTACCACTTGTGGCAGAGACTACAGGTTGGCCACTGCTGGATTAAAAAAACTTCACACAAATTGCATGACAAACTGAATACTTCTTCAAATTGGAGAAGAGATGCTTTGATTCACTGGAGCTAGAGCACAGCTATAAAGTCTATTGTAGGCAGCCAGGATACAAAGATTTATATAGTCTAGCACGTCAGAACAAAGGTGATCAGGAAGTTGGCTGAATGACTCTTTATTAAATGAAGTGTGCATTAATTCAGTCAGAAGAGACATACATCACGCACATATTTTCAAGAAATACAACCATGTTTCTGAGGCAGTTCTATTACTTTTTTAGTTTCTTTTGGGCAGCTTTCTTCTTGACCATTTGTAACCTTTTCATAGCATTAAGCTGTGATTCCTGAGAGGTTGGACCTTTTAAGGATGGTGACTGATTGCCCGAATCTGCAGCGGTTTTGCTGGTGCTGCTTCCACTGTTACTTGTTGTCCCGCTGCTTCCGTTGCCACTGTTTGCCTGGCTGCTGCTACCTGGAGTTGTACTGCTTGGACTAGGGAGTCCTACTTTGCTGACATTATCACTGCTTATTGAACGACTAAGACCTGTCTTCCCCAGTGTCAAAGGCGGAGGTGGCTTCAGTTGAACAGGACTTGTGCTGCTGTTGTTGGAAGCTATTTTTGACCCTAGTCCTGCTTTAGATGTTGCCAATCCTGACAAACCCACAGGTTTCTGTACATTAGAAGAGGCTGCAGGTTTCCCACTGGTACTCTGTGCTGTTGAACTCAATTTGGCAGTTGATGGACCGGTAGAAGAGGTTTTGGCTGCAAAGGCAGCCCATCCTGTAAGGCCACTGGTTGCTGAAGAGGAAACGCTGGTACTGGCAGAGTTTCCTGAAATTGCTGCTGAGGTCTAAAATAAATACATAAATAAATACATTTTATTGGACCAGTATTTAATCCTTGCTAAGAACAACATAACTGTTTCAAATTGTTTCTTAAAAAAACCTATTGGATAATATTTTAGTATTTTGCTAGGATTCACATTAGTCAAAAACATTAAGAAAGGAAGGACACAGGTGCAGCTACATTTTAATTTTCTGTCAAGACAAAGCCAATATTATCTTTTCTTTCCTTTCTTCTAGCTAAAACCAGGCTAACATATGACACAACAATCTCTCACTAAACTCTATCATGACAGCCTCTCTGAAGTAATTAAAAAGACCAACACTTACGAAGTAGAAACAAGGAAGGCAGTCCACTAGCTTCTCTGTTTTATTCTGTAACTTTCTGTTACCTGAAGTTGTATTATAACAAGATGATAGATGGTATCACAAAAATAAAACCCCAGGCAATTAAAATAATGCAGAAACTAGTCTTCTGGCCATGCTACAGATTGAAGTATTTCTTCCTCCACTGTTCCCTACCAATACATGCCACAGGCATGCTTATATTGTCTAAACAAAAAAAATATTTTTTCCTTTTAGAGTTCTTGTTCACACAGTTTAATACAATTCAGTACTCCTTCCTCTTCACACAGGTTTACAAATCAATTTACTCTATATACCCCATAAGATGTTAGCCTTTGTTAATACACACTGACTTTAAAGAAATTACCCTGTTACTCATGGATGCAATACAAAGCTAAGTTTTTAAGCCAGAGGTTCTCTGCTCCAGTCCTGTGCTCAGCACAAAGCCCTTTTCACAATATATCTATGCTTTTATGCATGAAATATGGCCCTAGTCCTCCAATTATTTATGAACATAACTTTAATCAGATGAATAAAGGTATTCATATTTGTTAGTGTTTGTATAATAAGCATCATTATTCATGTAGGCTTTGATTCAGGTAAAGTCGTTAACATAGCATAACTTTAAACACATGAATATAATGCCTTCCATTCAGGATTAGTGTTTTGCTGGACTGGGCTCGTGGCATGTTAGTCTACTCATATTACTTATTATGCTTTCCAGTTTATTGTCTATTACCAATTCATTACAGATTTGTTTTTTTTTAAACAAAAGAAAACAAACCCAGAGAAGCAAAGACATAAGCCAAAATATTAAAAAAGGAAGGAAACAAATAATTTAAATGCCAGAAAAAGCAGCACTGCTCCTCTACTACCACAGAAAAATCTTGGAATTACCAAAACATAATCCTGTTCAAAGGCAGCAATCCACCTCTTTTCTATTAGAATGAAGATATTTTATAAAATCCCATTAAAAAAAAAAAAAAAAAAAA